AAAACCCATCATTCACCCATCCTGTTTGGGCCAAAGGGTGCTTTACACTACATTTTTAAAAACTGCAACATTAAACCCCTCCTTCAGAGTGCAGGCACTGTACTTCCCAATCTCCAGGACTCAAGTCCGGCCTCCCGGGTTTTTCCCTAAACCCCTTCATAAATGTTACTTGCTCACACTCCAACAGCACGTCAAGTATTAAAAACCATTTGTCTCCATTCATCCTATCAAACACGCTCGCGCATGCCTGCTGGAAGTCCAAGCCCCTCGCACACAAAACCTCCTTTACCCCCTCCCTCCAACCTTTCCTAGGCCGACCCCTACCCCGCCTTCCTTCCACTACAGACTGATACACTCTTGAAGTTATTCTGTTTCGCTCCATTCTCTCCACATGTCCGAACCACCTAAAAACAACCCTTCCCAGCCCTCTGGACAACAGTTTTGGTAATCCGAAACCTCCTCCTAACTTCCAACAAAACGAATTCTCTGCATTATATTCACACCACACATTGCTCTCAACATGACATCTCCACTGCCTCCAGCCTTCTCGCTGCAACATTCATCACCCATGCTTCACACCCATATAACAGCGTCGGTAAAACTATACTCTCATACATTCCCCCCCTTTGCTCCAAGGACAAAGTTCTTTGCCCTCCACAGACTCCTAAGTGCACCACTCACCCTTTTCCCCTCATCAATTCTATGATTCACCTCATCTTTCATAGACCCATCCGCTGACACGTCCACTCCCAAAATATCTGAATACATTCACATCCTCCATACTCTCTCCCTCCAATCTGATATCCAATCTTTCATCACCTAATCTTTTTGTTATCCTCATAACCATTAACTCTTTCCTGTATTCACTTTCATTTTCTTCTTTTGCACACCCTACCAAATTCATCCACCAATCTCTGCAACTTCTCTTCAGAATCTCCCAAGAGCACAGTCATCAGCAAAGAGCAACTGTGACAACTCCCACTTTATTTTGTGATTCTTTATCTTTAAACTTCCATGCCTCTTGCCAAGTATTGTTCTCTAAATGAATCTCTACTCTGGAATCCTACTTTTCTTACCCCCTAACTCTCTTTTTAAATTATTCTGTTGAATAAAACTCATGTGCAATTTAAGTGTTACACATGTCTGCTCATTTTCATCAGTATTGCATAACATTAATTTGTAATAATTCTGTTATTCACTCTACCTGGCTTTTTCAACAGGCATATTTCCCTATAATTCTTACATTTTTGTCCCCTTACCTTTGTACAAAGGAGCACTGCATACTCTGAATATAAAAATAATTTTCTTTTGCAGAAACGGATTTGTTCTTTACTCATTGATTGTAAAGATTTAATACATAGTATTCTTTTTTGTTTTAGGTGAAACTCAGGGCCCAAAAGAGCAGTCAATAAAGGCCAGTATTGAGGCAAATAGTGAGTAGAGCTCGAGAAGAAGCAACAGAAAAAAAGGATGATTCTGATGAATCTGCATCATCCACTCCAATACCAGTTCTTCTGACAGTGATCTTCTGGAAGTAAGTACAATAATAATAGCATTAAAGACTTTTAATTTCATTTATAGGGCTCCTGTTATTTTTATATAATAGCTTCATTCCAGGGCAAGGAATTGCCTGTTCGCTTTTCTTCAGAGCAAGGAATTGTGTGATAGTTTCTTTGCAAAGCAGGGAATTGTGACAGCTTCTCCCAGAGCAGGGAAAATTTCATGTCAAATTTGGGTTTTAAAAAGTTATCTATTGATTTGGAATATAGTGGATCCTCAGTTATTGGTTGTAATCTGTTCCAGAAAAGGGCGGCCTAAAACCGAAATGGCCAAAAAACCCAAATAATATTTCCCATAAGAATTAATGTAAATACAGTTAATCCGTTTCAGGCACCCAAAAATATTTAACAAAAAATACATTTTTTTTTAAAAATTAACAATAGTTTTTTCATACACAAAACAGTGGGGAAACTAAATAAAATGACTAATGGATAAATGAACATTAAATCACTTTTACCTTTATTGAAGAGTCTTGTTGGCGTATCAAAATGGGGAGGAGCAGAGAGGGAGGCGAGTTTATTGTTTGGAGAAGGACAAAATGCTTAAATATGATGCTATTATCAACTCCACGGCTTATTTATCTATCACAGTTCATGTAATATAATGTAATAAACAGTATTAATAACATAGAAACATGATATATACTCTAGAATGAATAACATGTCATTATGTATGTGAGGACTGGTGGTGGTGGTGTTGGATTTATAAGGGCCACTGACAGCATAAGCCGTACATATAGTGGTAGCGGCGGCTCTGCTACCGCCACTACTCACACTGAAACAGTGTATGTAATATATAAATAAGAAATATTTACACTTTAATTTATAAATAAGAAATATTTACACTTGATAAATAAGAAACATTTACACTTACTGTACCTTAAAGGAGATGCTGGTATTGGTTTAGGGTGGTGGAAAATAGGCAGGGTGGCATATATTATCAGTTGTCCTATATACCTCCAACAACATTGGAGGAGTCAGTTTCGTGTCTTCCTTTTGCTATCACTTAATCACTTAACTTACGTGCTACACTTTATCACTGGTTGGCGCAATACCCTTTATCGACTAATGCTGCTTTAGTATCGTACATATCGTAGAATCACTGAAGAAAGCACATTCTTCCCTCTCTCTTCCTCCTTCACTTTCGTACTTTGCTATTGGTGGACGCGTCCAATACAAACAATAACCAAAATAACGGCCGATAATCGGGATAAAATTTCGGCCAAAAAATCGGGCTATAACTGAATTGGCCGATATCCGGAACGGCTGATAACTGAAGGTCCACTGTATATTGAGAGTGGATTAGGGTGTCCCCCCAATGTGGCGAAATATCTTTCACCACATTGCTGTCATTGTTACATGTTGAAAGGTTCATATTCTTGCAAAAAATTAGGCTTCAGACAATATGTAGAGGTAGCTAAAATTTGTGCATTATTGCATGTGCTCTTGGAATGTGCAAATGGTACCTGCCTCGAAATGCAGTATTCTGACCCATCTATTGGGTTGTATGTATACATATATCAACATGTAACATGGACAACCATATGGAAAATGACATTTCCCTTTTTTTTTTTTTTTTTTAATAATTTTTTTTGAGCCTGCATTTGACGGGTTTCAGAAATTTTCCTACTTCTGCAGCCTGGCCGTGAACCAGGCTTCTTTGGTGCTTACCTCGTATATTTATTACAGTCTGGGTGGTTTGTGGGATTGTGTTTTTTAATTAGGAACAGTGAGCACTTAGGAGCACATATTATGGATAACTTTGAAAAAATTAAAGATATTGAGAGAAGCAGTTCTGCAGTTTTTGACATGCACAGGTTCATCGTCAAGTGAAAGTGAATCGGAAGATGATGACGAGGAAGAGGAATGTGGTGGTGGTGTTGCTGATGATGGTGCAGTAGAGAATGAAGAGGCAAATGGAGAAGGTGAAGATGAAGTGCATGATGCAACAAATTATAATCACCACTACTCAGATAATGAAAATAACATACCACTGCCAGAGAACCTCCCTCCAGATCTTACACAGGTTTGTTAATGATTCTTAATTAAAGTTTTATCCCATGTAATTTTATTACTAAATTTGGGCACCCCTATTTGGGGTATACCTTTTTTTTTTTTCACCATATAACTTGGATTAACCCTTAAATGGTCCAAACGTATATATACGTTTTTTAAACATCTGAAAGTATGTAAAAAAATGTAAAAAAAATTTTTTGTTTTACATGTGAAAATGTGTAAAAAAAACTTTTATCTACATTTTTTTTGTTATATTTGAAAATATGTAAAAAAAGGTAGATCTACTTTTGTAGCACTACGAATTTGAACGTCGATCTGTTTGGACCGTTTAAGGGTTAAACAAATGATCTTGTTGGGCCTAGTTCTGTTGCTCTGTAAATTTCTTTGTATACCCTTAACTAATTTAGAAAAAATTTCAGGTAATAAATAAATTAAAGGAAGAGGGTCGCTCGTCGAAGGGTTCCAGTCAAAAGTTCTTCACAGATTCTGTCAACAAATTACTTTTAAGGTAAGACAGATGTGCCAATTTGGAACAAAAGACAATAAAATATGGTGAAAACTGATTCGATCTTTAGGATGGACTGCATGAGGATATTCTCCCTACTCTGATGTGTGGGAGAGAATCATGGACATGACATGAGATGGACAAATCTACTCATGCTCATAAAATAGACATTAACCCTTTCAGGGTTTCCGACATACTTGTACATTTTACACACCAGGGTTATTGACGTACTAGTACGTGTAAATTCTAGTGCCTTCAAATCTAGTGAGAGAAAGCTGGTAGGCCTACATATGAAAGAATGGGTCTATGTGGTCAGTGTGCACAGTATCAAAAAAATCCTGCAGCACAGAGTGTGTAATGAGGAAAAAAAAACTTTGACCGTGTTTTTGGTTTAAAACAGTGACTTTGCACTGTACAGTGGACCCTCAACCAGCGATATTAATCCGTTCCTGAGAGCTCATTGTTAATCGAAATAATCGTTAGTCAAGTTAATTTTCCCCATAAGAAATAATGGAAATCAAATTAATCCGTGCAAGACATCCCAAAGTATTGAAAAAAAAAAATTTATCACATGAAATATTAATTTTAATACACACAAACTGAAGAAGACATGCACAGTTACATGACACTTACCTTTATTGAAGATCTGGTGATGATTGATGGGATGGGAGGAGGGGAGACCGTTGATCTTCTTAGTTTTTAGAAGGGAATCCCTTCCATTAGCATTTGAGGTAGCAAGTCTTTTTCTGGGGTTACTTCCCTTGTTCTTTTAATGCCACTAGGACCAGCTTCAGAGTCACTGGACTTGTGTCGCACAACATATCTGTCCATAGATACCTGTAACTCTCATTCCTTTATAACTTTCCTAAAGTGGTTCACAACATTGTCAGTGTACAGGTTGCCAACACGGCTTGCAGTAGCTGTGTCAGGTGATTTTCATCAAAAAAGGTTTGCACTCAAGCCACTTTGCACACATTTCCTAATCTTAAAGTAGGCAACTTCTTCAATTTCTCTATCCCCTCCTCCGAAGCAGTTTCCTCAGGTCTGCCCTCTTGCTGTTCAAGATGATCTAGCAGCTCATCAGTGGTTAGTTCTTCATTGTCCTCCTCCACCAGCTCTTCCACATCCTCCCCACTAACCTCCAACCCCAAGGACTTCCCCAATGCCACAGTGGATTCCTGAACTGGCATAGGATTCTCAGGGTTAGCCTCAAACCTTTCACAATCCCTTTTGTCTACACATTCTGGCCACAGTTTTTTCCAAGCAGAGTTCAAGGTCCTCTTAGTCACTTCCTCCCAAACCTTACCTATAATGTTTACACAATTGAGGATGGTAAAATGATCTTTCCAAAACTCTCTTAGAGTCAGTTGAGTTTCTGAGGTCACTACAAAGCACCTTTCAAACATAGCTTTTGTGTACAGTTTCTTGAAGTTGGAAATGACCTGCTGGGCCATGGGGTGCAGGAAGAGTGGTATTAGGAGGCAAAAACTTCACCTTAATGAAGCTCATTTCCCTAGAAAGTCGCTCTGCCAATCTGAAGGATGACCAGGAGCATTTTCTAATACCAGGAGGCACTTAAGGTCTAATTTCTTTTCAATTTGGTAATTTTTCACATTGGGGCAAATGCATGGTGTAACCAGTCATAGAAAAAGTCCCTAGTGACCCATGCCTTACTGTTTGCCCTCCACAGCACACACAAAAATTTGCCTTGACGACATTGTTTTTCCTGAACACTCTGGGAGTTTCAAGTGATACACCAATAAAGGCTTCACTTTGCAACACCACTAGCATTGGCACACATCAACAAAGTAAGCCTGTCTTTCATAGGCTTATGTCCTGGGAATGCCTTTTCCTCTGAGTAATGTACGTCCTGCTTGGCATTTCTTCCAAAACAGGCCTGTTTCGTCACAATTTAAAACACTTGTTCAGGTTTCCCGTCCTTCACTGTCTATGTACTCCTTGAATTCCTGCACATATTTTTCAGCCGCTCTGTGGTCCGAACTGGCAGCCTCACCATGCCTTATCACACTATGAATGCCACTACAATTCTTAAATCTCTCAAACCAACCTTTGCGGCCTTAAATTCACTCACATCACACTAGTTGCTGGGATTTTTTTAATTAAATCGTCATGCAAACTTCCTAGCCTTTTCACATATGATCGCTTGAGAGATGCTATCTCCTGCTATCTGTTTCTCTTTATCCACACCAATAAGAGTCTCTCAACATCTTCTGCCACTTTTCGATCTCGTTTCGAAAACATAGTTTTCACCTTTGGCAAGAACACTTCCTTGATTGCCGTTTTCTTGCCCACAATAGTAGCGATGGTTGATTGGGGTTTATTATACAACCTGACCAGCTCAGAGACACGCACTCCACTTTCATACTTAGCAATGATCTCTTTCTTCATCTCCATAGTAATTCTCACCCTTTTTGCTGTAGGGTTGGCACTAGAAGCTTTCTTGGGGCCCATGGTGACTTATTTTGCAGGTGCAATCACTACAAAGGCTGTGATAATATGAAATGTTCCAGTTGTATGTTTGGAAGCGACCGCGGTGGCTGGCTTGTAAACACTGGCACCCACGGGACAAGTGAGGCGCGCTCAGGCCAAAGTGGACGCGTCTCGTATGGAACGAATAGCGCTGGTCGGGTTTTTATGCGCTAGTCGAGGCAAAATTTTTGCGTTAAAATGTATCGCTAGTCAGATTTATCGTTAATCGATGCCATCGCTGGTTGAGGGTCCACTGTATTTTCGTATGGTATTTATGGCTGTATTCTAGTTTTCCTGGTCTCATTTTATAGAATGGAAGACATATTACAGAAATTGAGATGATTTTGATTGGTTTCACAATGAAAAGTATCTTGAAATTGAGCTCAAAGTAGCAGAAATATTCGATTTTTGCCAAAGTTCAAAAGTAAACAAATCATGCCATGCATCCAATACACACTGGTGTGAAGCTTGGGTTGTAAATGGTGCAGCGAGGAGGTGGTTGGAGGCAGTGGAGATGTCCTGTCTAAAGGCAATGTGTGGTGTAAATATGCAGAAAATTTGGAGTGTGGAAATTAGGAGAAGGTGTGGAGTTAATAAAAGTATTAGTCAAGAGGGCTGAAGAGGGGTTGTTGAGGTGGTTTGGTCATTTAGAGAGAATGGATCAAAGTAGAATGACATGGAGAGCGTATAAATCTGTAGAGAAAGGAAGGCAGGGTAGGGGTTGTCCTCAAAAGGGTTAGAGGGAGGGGGTAAAGGAGGTTTTGTGGGCGAGGGGCTTGGACTTCCAGCAAGCGTACTTGAGCGTGTTAGATAGGAGTGAATGGAGATGAATGGTTTTTGGGACCTGACTATCTGTTGGGGTGTGAGCAAGGTAATATTTTCTGAAGGGATTCAGAGAAACTGGTTAGCCAGACTTGAGTTCTGAAAATGGGAAGTACAATGCCGGCACTTTAACCCTTTCACTGTTGAGACCCCTGCTCACAAACTTGCTTGCAGTGTCGAAGAATTTAAAAAAAAAAAGTTATTTTTTCTTATGAAATGATAGAGAATTTTTTCCTGATGGTAATGACACCAAAAGTATGAAATTTGATGGAAAATTTAGGAATTATGCTCTTGCAAAGTTAGCTGATGCAATGCATCAGCAATTTCACCCACTTTGAGCCCTATTTTCAGCCAATTCCATTGTTCCAGTCTGCCAAACTCAGCTATTTCACTTGAACTGAAAATGGGAAGTACAATGCCGGCACCTTTAACCCATTTCACTGTTAACCCTTCACAAATTGCTTGCTGTGCAGAGAATTAAAAAAAAAGTTATTTTTTCTTATGAAATGATAGAGAATTTTTTCCTGATGGTAATGACACCAAAAGTATGAAATTTGATGGAAAATTTAGGAATTATGCTCTTGCAAAGTTAGCTGATGCAATGCATCAGCAATTTCACCCACTTTGAGCCCTATTTTCAGCCAATTCCATTGTTCCAGTCTGCCAAACTCAGCTATTTCACTTGAACTCCATTTGTTCTATCGATTGAGTACAAGAAACCGCCCATTTATCGAATTCAACTACCCAATAGAGTGGTCAGAAATTGGCAATTTGGCCAATTTCACACAAATTTCAAAAGATGCCAATTTCAAAATAGGGTCCAGAATAAACACTGCAAACATTCCTGGCACTAAAATTACATTTTCTCTGTTCATTAGTCACATCTCCAGACCCCTCTTATATTACTTTTGCTTTCCATTTTGAATTTTTATTCACACAAAATAGAACATTTTCTGTTATGCAGGCAACTGCATTATTGTAATAATTGTGTAAATAATGTCAACCCGTTCATGTCTGCTTATTAGACTGGCCAGTTGGATACGTATTGGACAGTGACGTCATTTGTTTACTCTCGAACATTGGCAAAAATTAAACATTTCCACTATTTTGAGCTCAGTTTCAAGGTACTTTTCATCGTGAAACCAATCAAAATCACCTCTGACATGTGGAGAGAATGGAACAAAACAGAATGACTTCGAGAGTGTATAAATCTGTAGTGGAGGGAAGGCAGGGTAGGGGTCAGCCTAGGAAGGGTTGGAGGGAGGGGGTAAAGGAGGTCTTGTGTGCGAGGGGCTTGGACTTCCAGCAAGCATGCGTGAGCGTATTTGAATGGAGTGAATGGAGACAAGTGGTTTTTAATACTTGACTTGCTGTTGGAGTGTGAGCAAAGTAATATTTGTGAAGGGATTCAGGGAAACCGGCAGGCCGGATTTGAGTCCTGGAGATGGGAAGTACATAGTGTCTGCACTCTGAAGGAGGGGTGTTAATGTTGCAGTTTTATGACTGTAGTGTAAAGCACCCCTCTGGCAAGACAGTGATGGTGGGAATCGGCTGATGTGTAAAAAAAAAAATCTTCCGTTCTATCAAATGAGACCAAGAAAACAAGAATACAACCATAAATACAATACGAAAATACACCTCAGATTTAGCGTGTTAAACCAAAAACAGTTTTCTTTTTTTCTCATTATGCACTGTGTGCTGCAGGATTTCTTTTATACTGTGCACACTGACCACGCAGACCCATTCTCTCACATGTAGACCTACCAGCTTTCTCCCGCTAGATTTGAAGTCGCTAGAATTTTGGCGTATTAATACACTGTTGGAGTGTGAGCAAAGTAACATTTATGAAGGGATTCAGGGAAACCGGCAGGCCGGACTTGAGTCCTGGAGATGGGAAGTACAGTGCCTGCACTCTGTAGGAGGGGTGCTAATGTAGTGTAAAGCACCCTTCTGGCAAGACAGTGATGGAGTGAATGATGATGAAAGTTTTTCTTTTTCGGGCCACCCTGCCTTGGTGGGAATTGGCCAGTGTGCTAATAACTAATAATACGTCACTGACACCGGCTTGTAAGCCATTCCTATACGTCACCGACAGTGAAAGGGTTAAAGGAGGGTTTAGGATATTGGCAGTTTGGAGGGACATCTAAACTGCAAAGACAATGATTATGTATGAGTGATGGTGAAAGTGTTGAATGATGATGAAAGTTTTTTTTTTTTTTTTTTTCTTTCTTTCTTTCTTTTTGGGTCACCCTGACTTGGTGGGAAATGGCCAACGTGTTAAAAAAATTACTTTTGAAATCTGTTGAAAATTAAGCAGTTAAGAAATATTTTGTACTGATTGTTACAACACTGCATGATGTGTGATATCACCATGGTTACCAAATTTATATATGTGGTTGGAAAAGTGAATACTAAAGTGTTGGGAAGAGGTGTGGGATTGAAAGATACTGGATCTGTTACAAGGTAGGAGTTTTTGCATTTTTTTTTTTTTTTTTGCTGTTAACAGTGTTTTTTGGGGAGTCTAAAGACAAGATGCAAAAGTTGGTGGATGAATTTGGAGGGTGTGTAAAAGAAGGAAATTAAAAGTGAACATTGAGAAGAGGAGGGTGATGAAGTGTAGCAAAAAATTTAGGCAATGATAGATTGAATATCAGATCGGAGAGAGGGAGTATGGAGGAAGTTGATATAACTAGATACGATGGGGAGGAAGGTGGGTGGTGTGTTGAAACATCTGTAAAAAAAAAAAGTTTATCTTTGGAGGGAAAAAAAAAAAGGCATGCACCAGAGTACAGTGGTACGAACATTTTTGTGGGTGTGAAGAATGGGTTTAGAATGCTGAAGTGAGGAGACTAATTGGAGTCAAGATATCGTCTTTGGGAGTTATGTGGGATGAATATCATGCAGGGAATTTATAATGTAGAAATTAAATGGCAGTGTGAGGTCACCAAGGGTACAAGTCAGAGGATTAAGGAGGTATTATTGAGGGGGTTTGGGCATGTAAAGAGAATGAAGAGGGATAGGGTGATGAGTGTTTGTAAATCTGGGGTGGAAGGTAGGAGGGATAGGAGTTGCTCAGAAACAGTTGGGAGGAAGGGGTAAAGGAGGCTTTGAACTTTAGGGGCTTGAGCATCTGGCATGCTGTTGTAAGCTTGTTAGAGTAGAGTGAATGGAGACGAAGGGTTTAATGGATATTTTGTTGGACTGTGAGCAAGGTAACTTTTATGAAGGGATTGAGAGAAATCCATTGTGCTTCAGTCCAGGAAGTGGGAAGGGTAGTGCCTGCACTCTAAAGGAGGGATGGGGATGTTGCAGTTAGAGGGTAATCTGAATTGTGATATGAGCACACTTCTGGGTAGACAGCTTTTAAATGACTGATGGTGAGTGTGTTCTCTTTGAGTCTTGCTGCCTTGGTGAGACAGCAGTTTAGGTTAAAAAAAAAAAAGTCTTTAACTGGGCTGTCATAGTTTCCATTTATGAAGAGTTTAAGGGTTAAGCTTTTGGTGCATCAGATCTGTTCTTAATAGTATTCAATGCAGCTGAATAACTTGAAAGCAAGTATTTCACAGAATGGTAGTTCTTTAATATGGCTTTGGCAATTTGAAAGTAAAATGTCACTTTGTAATTGCCTTTGTAAATGTAGTTTGTCTCTCTCCTAATATGAAAAACAACAACACCATTAACAATTAAAGTAATGCAATAGTTATTATTATAGCAAGTGGATTTTCTCAGATATTTTTACTGGTGCATTCTTTATTCACCCTAAAATTATTTAGAGATTTCTTGTGTGTAGCCTCTGTAACTAATTAATAGTACTGTAATTTACTTTCAGTATTGAAATGCAGCTGAATAAAATTGGTGGAAGGAAAAAGACACAGATATATAACCACCTGTCAGAACATCTTCCTTGTGGAACTCAGACTCTAGTTAAAAGAGCCAAGAATCTCTTAACTGAGAAACAGGAGAACAGTTTACGAGAGCCACTCAGAAGGTAAAGTTACCATAGCTTGCACTGGATACTTGTCAGTTTATTTTGACAATTAAAAGAAATGAAGGATCAAAAACCTGTTTTATTATGTTTTACCTACAATGGAACTTGTCATGTACCTTGATAAAGCACCCAGTTTGGGTTATATATAGTAAAAGTGTCTTTGAACTGCCACTTGCCAGCTTATGCCATTGTTTACATAGATTTTACTTTCATCAAATACTATACTACATATAATCAGGACTACTGTTGCTGTATTATGAGATTATTTAACTGTCCAGACTCGTGAAATAGTGATTCATTCTCTGAAAAAGACAGTATATGGTTTATGGCATATATTGTGAAGACATTTCATCCACCAGGGAGTTTATCAATTCTTGAACTGATAAAAAACCCTAGTGAATAAAACGTTTTCTCAGTAAATGCTATCAACTACATACAGTATTGTTTTATTCACATACTTGTGGGAATATTTTACCAGTGAGAGAATTCATTGTCAGATCTTTTGTAATGAGGAAGTCACTCATCCTTCAACAATCTTTGCTCATTTTTCACGTATTGTGATACTGTTGAGCTCTTCAGTAGTTCATATGTAAACTTTACCTCTCACTTTCCTCAGTGTTTCATATATTGAAGTGAAACTCTAGAATGTCAGGAAAACTGCTGGCAAAGGAGATAAGATAGCTAACCAATATATATAAAATAAATGCTTGCCAGTATATATAAAATAAATACTTGTGTACCATACTGATGTATTGTCTTAAGAAGAGTAATTTCTTCCAGGTTAAAGGAAGCTGTTGATGCTCACATGCCTCCATTAGTGGAACAACATGCTTTGGAGTGCCAGAAAGCTGCCGAGTCAAAGTATGTAACAACATTAGTTTTGATGCTTACTCTGCTGCTTTTCCTCTCATGAAGTTATCCACATTTTACTGTTACCTGAGTTAACAAAGGCCTAATTGGGCCATTACTGATTGTGAATTTGTTTAGTCATTAATAACAAGTAGCCATTGGAATTCTTATTCATGTATGCAGTATTACCACATGCTTTATGAACTACATAAAATCAGAATGAAGCTGCCGGTTCTGACTGACATATCTAAACCTCCAAAAGAGCCCTTCATAAAGGGGCATTTCTGTCTACATTCTTGTATTGAAAACTTCTTCTCTTCCAAATATTCTGAAACTCAAGCTTTAATATGGTCAGAGTGTTCAGACTGCACCGCAAGATATAATCTAAGGAATACACTTTTACAAGTGGTCTGTGTACCTGTGATGGCTTTCCTTCTCGATGGTTATACTACGTGTTTCTTTGATTAGTGTTACACTTTCTCACTTCAACATTTAAAATTTATTAACCCTGGATTGGTTATAGCCTGACTTCTTATAAGTATTCATAGTCAGCATGTTATCCTGTGGGGGAGTGTCTCAGGTTTGTACTTGCCAGCCAAATTTTTGCCCTAAAGTTACAGTAATAGATTTGTTTTTGGTTGTGTTTAATTTGTGTAGGATAAATTATTTGTATGTAGGTATCCTCATCAGGTATATGATATGATTATTAAATTACAAGACTAATTTTATTGCCAGAACACTTAGGCTTACAAAAGTGAACTACCCCTGTATATCAGAGCTCAGCTCTTTAAAAGGTAATGTATCACATCTTGCCAGTGCTGTGTAGTAGGTGGGGAGAGTACAGTCATGGGTGTAATGCATGGCACATTTCATTGGAGGGCTATCTGCACCTCAGATTTTTTTGCTTGTTCAAATAATCGGTGAGGAGTTTAATTGTGCAACTGTTTTGAAGTCTCAGGTGCATAAAGAAAATATGAAAACTGGCCTTTTGAAATGAGTTTCCTGATACTCTTGTGCTACATAACAAATGTGCCATTTGTTATGTAGCACTGGAGAAAGATATACAGTGGACCCCCCCGGTTAACGATATTTTTTCACTCTAGAAGTATGTTTCAGGTGCCAGTACTGACCGAATTTGTTCCCATAAGAAATATTGTGAAGTAGATTAGTCCATTTCAGACCCCCAAACATACACGTACAAACGCACTTACATAAATACACTTACATAATTGGTCGCATTCGGAGGTAATCGTTATGGCGGGGGTCCACTGTAATTATCTATTTGTAGTACAGGAGCAGAGCTAATGCAAGTGGTATCCCTTCTTTAGTACGTCATCATTTTTTATATACTTTTTTTTTTTTTTTTTTCAACAAGTCGGCCGTCTCCCACCGAGGCAGGGTGACCCAAAAAAAGAAAGAAAATCCCCAAAAAGAAAAATACTTTCATCATCATTCAACACTTTCACCACACTCGCACATTATCACTGTTTTTTGCAGAGGTGCTCAGAAATACAACAGTCTAGAAGCATACACATATAAAGATACACAACATATCCCTCCAAACTGCCAATATCCCAAACCCCTCCTTTAAAGTGCAGGCATTGTACTTCCCATTTCCAGGACTCAAGTCCGACTATATGAAAACAACCGGTTTCCCTGAATCCCTTCATTAAATATTACCCTGCTCACACTCCAACAGATCGTCAGGTCCCAAGTACCATTCGTCTCCATTCACTCCTATCTAACACGCTCACACACGCTTGCTGGAAGTCCAAGCCCCTTGCCCACAAAACCTCCTTTATATACATATATATACATATATATACATATATATACATATATATATATATATATACATACATATATATATATTTTTTTTTTTTTTTTTTTTTTTCAACAAGTCGGCCGTCTCCCACCGAGGCAGGGTGACCCAAAAAAGAAAGAAAATCCCCAAAAAGAAAATACTTTCATCATCATTCAACACTTTCACCACACTCGCACATTATCACTGTTTTTGCAGAGGTGCTCAGAATACAACAGTCTAGAAGCATAAACATATAAAGATACACAACATATCCCTCCAAACTGCCAATATCCCAAACCCCTCCTTTAAAGTGCAGGCATTGTACTTCCCAATTTCCAGGACTCAAGTCCGACTATATGAAAATAACCGGTTTCCCTGAATCCCTTCACTAAATATTACCCTGCTCACACTCCACAGATCGTCAGGTCCCAAGTACCATTCGTCTCCATTCACTCCTATCTAACACGCTCACACAACGCTTGCTGGAAGTCCAAGCCCCTTGCCCACAAAACCTCCTTTATATACATATATATACATATATATACATATATATACATATATATATATATATATACATACATATATATATATTTTTTTTTTTTTTTTTTTTTCACAAGTCGGCCGTCTCCCACCGAGGCAGGGTGACCCAAAAAAAAAAGAAAATCCCCAAAAAGAAAATTTTTTCATCATCATTCAACACTTTCACCACCACTCCACATTATCACTTTTTTGCGGGGTGCTAAAATACAACAGTCAGAAGCATAAACAAAAAAGATACAAAACATATCCCTCCAAATGCCAATACCCCAAACCCCCCCTTTTAAAGGCAGCATTGTATTTCCCATTTCCAAAACCAAGTGACAATAAAAAAAACCGGTTTTCCCCCTGAATCCCTTCACTAAATATTTACCCTGTCACACTCCAACGATCGTCAGGCCCCAAACCTTCCCTCTCCATTCACTCCTATCAACACGCTCAGCACCGCTTGCGGGAAGTCCAACCCCCTTACCCACAAAACCCCCTTTCCCCCCTCTCCCCAAACCCCTTTCGGGGCGCCCCCCACCCCCCTTCCCTTCCCCATAGATTTATATTTTTCCCATGTCTTTCAACTGGGGACCATTCTCTCAAAAATGCCCAAACCCCCTCAACAACCCTCTTCGCCCCGACAATTTTTTATTAACTCCCCCCTTCTCCAAATTTCCACCCCGAATTTTCTGCATAATTTTTACACCAACATTGCCCTTAAACAGGACATCTCCGCTGCCCCCAAACCTCTCCCGCTGCGCATTACACCCAAGCTTAAACCCCCATATAAAGTTTGGGTACTACTAACTTTCCATACTTTCCCCTCTTTGCCCCAAAATAACGTTTTTTGACTCACAATACCTCAACGCACCACTCCCCTTTTTTTCCCTCATCAATTTCTAGATTAACCTCACCCTTCATAATCCATCCGCCACACGTAAACTCCCAAGTATCTAAAAAATTTCACTTTTTCCATACCCTCCTCCCCAATTTGTTTCCCAATTTTTCTTTATCTAATCTTTGACACCCTCATCACCTTACTCTTTTCTAGTTCATTTCAATTTTCTCCCTTTTACACACTTCCCAAATCACCCACTAACCTTTGCAATTTTCTTTAGAATCCCCCATAACCAGACATCAGCAAAAAGTAACTTGTCAATTTCCCTTTTGAATTTGATTCCCCAAAATTTTAATCCCCCCCCTCTCCCAAACCCCCCTGCATTTATTCCTTTACAACCCCCCATCTAAAATATTTAAACAACCAGTGACTTTACACATCCCTTTTAAGACCCCCTTTTACCGGGAAGTATCTCCCTCTCTTCTACACACCCAAAAACCTAGCCTCCTATCCTCAAAAATCTTTACAGCATTTTAAAACTTACCCCCAAAATTCCATTACTTGCAACTCTGCACTTTTGCCCTCTACCCCATTTATCATATCCTTTTCAAAATCCAAAAATCAAAAAAAAATTCCTATCTTTATCAAATACTGTTCACATATAGTTTAAATGTAAACACCTGATCTACACATCCCCTCCCACCTAAAACCTCCTTGCTCTCCGCAACCTACTTCTGTCTTACCTCTAATTTTTTCAATTATAACCCTACCGTACACTTTTCCGGGTATCCGTAACTTATTCCTCTATAATTTTTACATCTTTTTTGTCCCCTTTCCCTTTATATAAAGGGACTATACAGCTCCTGCCAACCCCTGGGTCCCTTCCCCTCTTTCAACTTTTATTAAACAAAAGTACCAACCACCCCAAAACACTATACCCCCCCGCTTTTAACTTTTCTGTAAATTTCCCATCAGTTCCAGCTCCCTTTAAAAAACCCCTTTCATTTTACGTAAGCCTCACGCCTCCCCCACACTTACTTTCTCTTTTTTTTTCACTCCTAAAAGATGGTATACCCCCAAACCATGCAAAATTACGCCTCTGTTTCTTCTTAACTTTTAAAAGTTCCTAAAAATTTTCTCCCCATTTTCCCAAATACCTCCATCTCCCCACACTAACTCCCCTACTCTGTTTTTAACGACAAATCCATATTTTCCCTAGGCTTTCTAATTTGTTTAACCACTCCAAAATTTTTTCTTTTTTTATTAAAATTTCTTGACATCCTCCCCACTTATACTCTCTCCTTTGCACTCTCTACCACCCTTTACTTTTTTTTACTCCCAATACCTGCTCTTCATAACACTTGTTTTGAAAAACCTCCATAAGCTACCTTTTTCTTTTTTATCACCCCCTTTACTTCATCATTCCCCCCAACACTCCTCTTTCCTCCGCCCCACCCTCCTTAACCACAAATTTCGCCCACATTCTAATACTGCATTTTTAAAAACTTTTCCCAACCCTCTTCAACCCCCCCACTACTCATCTTGCACTAGCCCACCTTTCGCCAATATCCTTATTCTCACCCGAACTTCCTCCCCCTTAGTTTAAATTTTCACCCCCTCTACTTGTTTTGCCCCCTTCCTTTTTTTCCCATCTCCCTCTTACTCTAACTTGCTACAACTAAAAAAATGATCCTTATAAGTTGCCCCCTATAAACATTACATCCTGGAGCCTACTCATCAACCTTTATCCCCCAATACATAATCTAATAAACACTTTCTTACGTGCTCATCATACCTTGTATATTTATTTATCCTCTTTTCATAAAATTTTTACTTTTTCCCAAA